AGAGATAGAGGGAGGGAGAGAGAGAGAGAGAGCAGCTAGTTTAAAGTCTCAGCACTGCCACATCTCCACAGGGCAGTAGGACAGGATGGTATCAGCGACGGCCCCCTAATTTCCTCCACGCAGAGTCCCAAAGCAAAGCACGACCGCGTACTTTACATGTCAGTGTCAAAAGGAATGAAATAGCTCAGTGCGTCAAGGAGGCTAATGGAAAGCAAAAAAACAAAACAAAAAACAAGCAAACAGGTGGAGTAAAAAGAGCTCATTAGGGGCGAAACGATTCCGGAGACTGTTACAGATAACGCGGCTGCTTTTTTCATGTGAGTGGGGGGGGGGTTGGTTTCGTGCATTTTGTTTTGACAGAATCATTCTCACAGGGGGGAAAAATGACATTTACTTTTATGTATCAGAAACAATACAAATCCACAATGTGCTTCAGGAAAGTCGCCAAAGGAATCATGTATAGGGACTCTCAGGACCAGGGTTACATATATACCTCTTAAAATGTGCAGCACCCGACCATTTCCCATATATCATAACGGATATATAGGTGCTATAGCCTATAGGTTATGTTCTAGTGCTGTTGTTTTACTGACATAGTACCCCTGCAGTGTTCGCGTACGTGTTTCTGTAACAGACACTTATTTCCCAAAGTGACTTACTGGTCAGTAGTTCATCTAGTGCATGGAGCAACACAGACAGACTATCAAACAGATACACCACATGTATCTGCTTTTGGTCAAGATTTAGAATAAAAATATTGGTGATGCAGTAATGTAGTATGATAAGTAAAATAATGTTTTAGCAAAAATGTTACCAGGCCCATCCATCCATCCATCCATCCATCCATCCATCCATCTATCCATCCATCCATCAACCCACCCACCCATCCATCCATCCATCCATCCATCCATCCATCCATCCATCATCCTAACACTCAGGGATGTAAGAACTGTGGGGTACACCCAATAATTAATCTGGCTTCATTCACGCCCCCCCCCCACCCTCACCAATAAATAGACCTTTGCACTGAATTAAATAATTGTGTCTCGCCAATATCAAACTCTTTACTACTGTCTTGCCTACACCCATCTGTCAATAATGCCTATCAAGTGAAGGGGTAAGCTTGCATATTATTATTCTATGTATTAAATATTCATACAATTTCCTCCTCATTTTGCATGTATTTTAAAGTATGAGCACATACTATGGGATCAAACAGATTAGGGAGGGACACCTTAAAATTAGTCGTGTCTTCTTACAGCTGGTGCATTGAGAGGTGTACCTCATGACAATCACCGGCCAAAGTCGCAAAGCACCGCAGAATTCATTAACCTTTGAAAATCATGCTCAGTATAGCAA